ATTTTGGGGAGATTTAAGAATAGAACTATGGATTGAGAGAGGTATAGGTTGAGAGACATTTGTTCGAATACATTTGGGACGGGGTCAAAGTTTGGGCTGCATCTGATACGATGCAATAGTTCTGATGGAGAAATAGGACGTTTTCCCTTTTTTAATTAAGGGTATGATTAGTTGGGTTGTCTCTTTGTGGTACAGCTCAAAATAATCTTAAAGTCCCAATATTAAACCAATCAAGGTTTAGCTTTCCTAAAAAATCTCACAGTCCAAAACAACTTTTCTTAGTTTTTTTTTTTTGCTGTAACTGTAACGCCCCGACCGTCTCTACCAGTGGGCTCCACGTCCTCACTCGGGCTCATGAACCCAACCCTGTCCGACGGCCGGTCCGCTACGTCCGGGAGGCTTTAAAGACTTGTTTACCGACCCTACAAATCACCACATGATATTTCCCTGTGTTTTGTCCTCACTCACACAGTTCCGACAATCACTTCCCAGAAGGTCACCCATCTTGAAACTACTCCAGCCCAAGCATGCTTAACTTTGGAGTTCTCTCAGGACGTTTGACCGAAAAGATAAGTGCATTTTGGTGATATAGGTGGGCAAATCACTTCTTTTAAACCTCTCTGCATGCACCACTATATTCCTGAAACCGGGGTGTTATAGTAACTCTTAAAATTTATATAGCATATTTTTTTGTGTTTTAAGAGCTGTAGACATTTTTTCTTCTCGTATATTTAATTTTTTCTTTTTTTTTCTGTATATTAGTACATGATAATTTAAACATAAGAAAAAATAATCGATATACAATACTTTTGCTAAAGTGACGAAAAATTATATAAATTATATATTTATATATATATTTCATTATTAAAAAAATTTAAATTTTAATATATATTTTTACCAAAAATTGTTTAATGTATTTTGAATATATGAAACTTACTATTTATTATATGTTTCATCTGTTATCGTATGTAATATATTGTAAATTTTTAAAATTCATATACTTAAATTTTAAATCTATAATATTGAACTAACTTTACCAATCATATGCATGCTTTATTATTAAAATATCTACACAAAAAAACCTACAATTACAGCTAACACAGATACAACAAAAACTCTACAGCAAAAAATTTACAGCTACAACTCAACCAATGACCCACTAAATCGTAGCTTTTTTTTACGTTTCATTTTAATAGTTAACTTTATTTAATTTTGCCAAAATAATGATGTCGTTAACTTGACTAACGGAACCAATTAACATAGTTAAATCTCTGTTAAAAATCAATCACACGGTCAAACAGTTCAACATGTGACATAGTTGATCGTAAGTAAGATTTTATCAACTTCAACTTTGAGAAACTTCTTTTTGCCGAGGTGACTGAAATTGGAATTATGCGCATAATTCTATAAACAATCCATGTTGATAAGCCTCTCCTCCCTTGATCCATGATTTTGATGAAATAAACAAATCAAAACTTCTCCTCCCTTGCTTACAACTACATTTTCATCATCAGCTTGTCTTGGGTCTTTATAAAAATGTGTTTACTTTTTAATAAAGCGCTTCCTTTTCACATGAAAGATTGGTTCAATATCCATGAAAACAACAATTCTTTTTTGCTTCAGCTTTTGCTTCTTCAAACCCGTTTCTTTATACTTCGGAAAAAAGACTAACCCATTTAGTTGAGCAATATATAGCAACATCAATATATATCCATATCTTAAAGTTTTATTATGGTTGATTCAAAAACATGTCCCGCCAAACCCGTCCTTGCCAAAAAACCTATTTATTTTATTAATGTTGATCCTATTTATGATATGATTCTGAATCATTGTCTAAATATTTTAGTCGATGTAGAACCTTAAACACACATTTTTGGCAAAATCAACATGGATCAGAGAAGGCAGAGTTCCTTTACAAACAATTAAAGCTAAAATTGATTATTGTTCCTATACAGTTCGAACTATTTATGGGGTTTTAGGAATAAAAATTTGGATATTCGTAGACGAAGAATAAAAAAACTTTCTTTATCTTTACATTTTATCCGATGATAAAAAACGAAAACTATGTAGTATAACACTATACAGTAATAAAAAATTGCAGTCTTCTTTTTTATGTTTAAGAATAAAATCAGCAATTCTATAAGATTGAATAAAAATTTCCATCAAAACTACTTTGATATAATTGCTATGCTTAGTGTGTGACTCGTTGGTTTAGGATTAGATTAAGATAAAAAAAAAAAAAAGAACTTACCTATAACAGAAACTAATAACTATAGCATTAATAAATAACCTAAGCAACTCATTGCTTCACATTATCTGGATAAAAAAATCAGTCAAGATATGATAGATTGATCATATCACAACTGAAAAAAAAAATAAAGAAATATGATTATAAATTATGAAAAGTAATCGAAAGGTATGCGGATAAGTGGAAGGATGAAAGAAAGAAAGAAAAAATTGAATATTAATGATATATTATTCCAATTTGGAAAGTCTATGAGGTCACTGTAAGAAAAGCAATGTAATACAGCATCAATACAGATTCATTCATAATAATTAGATAAATCTGTTCCGAAAACAAAAAAAAAAATTAAGAGCCTTGAGCCAATAAAAACTGAGAAAATTGACTCAAAAACAAATTAAAAAATGAAATTCCCAATTTCATATAAGAGCTCCATTGTAGAATTCGGGCCTAATGATTAATCAAGAAGCGATGGGAACGACGGAACCCATGAATATAGAGGATTCTATTGAAAAACAAATCTTAGTAATTCATTGGACAGGATGGCGGAATAAACCAGAAACTTTATTATCTATTCTTATTTTTATTCAGAGATCTCCTGGGATAAACATCAAACTTAATATAGATATTGAAAGAGTAAATATTCGCCAGCGAATCTTTTTTTTTAATAAAAGTAATAAAATACGAAAAAAATTTAAAAAGATAAAAGAAAATAAGGATTTGTTAGAATATTCTAACGCTAATATAAACGACATTCGAGATGATGATATTACGTTATTTTTAAATAAATAGAATTCATCTTGGATTCGATTTCGAAAAAGACATACACAAATTTAGAAGAGATCAGATGAAATTTAATACCATGATTAATAGAATTAATCATTAACTACATCTATATCTTAATACAAGCTTTTTTATTCCTTTTATTCGCGAGGAGCTGGATGAGAAGAAACTCTCACGTTCAGTTCTGTAGTAGAGATGGAATTTCTAATTTAGAACCATCAACTATAACCCAAAAAGAACCAGATTTCGTAAACAACATCGAGGAAGACTAAAAGGAATATCTTCTCGTGGGAATCGTATTTGTTTTGGCAGATATGCTCTTCAAACACTTGAACCCGCTTGGATCACATCTAGACAAATAGAAGCAGGGCGACGAGCAATGACACGAAATGTACGACGTGGTGGAAAAATTTGGGTACGTATATTTCCAGACAAACCAGTTACAGTAAGACCTGCGGAAACGCGTATGGGTTCTGGGAAAGGATCCCCCGAGTATTGGGTAGCTGTGGTTAAACCAGGTAAAATCCTTTATGAAATGGGTGGTGTACCCGAAAATATAGCCAGAAAAGCTATTTCAATAGCGGCATCAAAAATGCCTATAAAAACCCAATTCATTATTTCTGAATAGGAATATAGAATGAAAAAGCTAAATAACATTTAAGGATAAAAAGATTATCAATTTTATTTTTTTGACAAACAATATTTTTTTACTTCGTCCTTTGCATTAAAAGAAGAGATACAAAAAAAATGATATGATTCAACCACAAACCTATTTGAATGTAGCAGACAACAGCGGGGCTCGAGAATTGATGTGTATTCGAATAATAGGAGCTAGTAATCGCCGATATGCTCATATTGGTGACGTTATTGTTTCTGTAATCAAAGAAGCAATACCAAATACTCCTCTAGAAAGATCAGAAGTGATTAGAGCTGTAATTGTACGTACTTGTAAAGAACTCAAACGTAATAATGGGACGATAATACGATATGATGACAATGCCGCAGTTGTCATTGATCAAGAAGGAAATCCAAAAGGAACTCGAGTTTTTGGGGCGATCCCACGGGAATTGAGACAATTAAACTTTACTAAAATAGCTTCATTAGCTCCTGAGGTATTATAAGATCTAAATATCGATAGTTTAGTATAGGATTAAAAAAACTGGTATTGAAATAAAATTAATTAATAGATTGTGTATCACGCATATACCCTTAATAATAAAATAATAAAATACACATTTTTCGTCATTGGCTAATATATATGTCTGTTTTTAAAATCTCATACCATATAACCATACTAAACAAAAACTAAAATCCTCCAATTCCATGATCAGTTTCACTAATTGCAAAATATTGAGCATCACTCCGAGTTTCCACACATCAAATAGTAAGAGATATCTGCTCTATGTGGCTAACATCATAATCAAGAATAACTGGGGCTGAGTGTTTTCTAATAGGCAAGTTCAAAAGAATTCATTGGACTTGCTCAATGGCAATTTTTTTTTTTGTATTTATGTCGGCTGGAATTCTAGATGAGGGAATCTTCAACATCAACACTTCATGTTCTAATGAAGTTCTATATACTTACTTTTGTGATGTACAGTTGTACACTATATGTTTGATTTTGCACATTTCTGCACCTAAAAATTTACACACATTTTAGCATGTGAAAGAAAGCGAAACACTATCCTCTTAAACATTGTACCGTAACAATGATAGAAATTAAAAATAAGTCAATAGTGGTGACAATGACGACAATGGCAGTGTTAACAACGGCGATGGCGTTGGCATCAGTAGCAATGGCTGTTGGTGATGACAACATGGTGGCAACAACAATGGTGTTTGTGTCACCGATAGGTAATGTGGTGGAGGTGACAGCAATTTTATTCCCACTAATTTATAGTTGCACTATATGCTTGATGATCATTGTTCATCATGAGCCAAAGGAGGGTAAAAGGCTGCTTAGTGGTGTTTTTGGTTTTTTTTTTTTTCTAAATCAAAATTGATCACATAATAAAGGTACAAAAATATGATCCATCAAGCAGAAAACATTTCAAACAACAAACCCTCACAAGAGTAAACCCCCCTTAAACCCTCCTTTACAGTCAAAGTGTCTTTGCCACAAAACTGAAATTATGCCTTTTTTTGCGCAAACATATTCTCTTACTTAAACTCTTTAGTAGCCCTCTCTTTCTCTCTGCTTGTGTCACCAGGAATCTGTACATTACCAAAAGCCAAATAGAAAGAGCCTTTGGCGATTTTAGTTCTCAGCTTCCAGAAATAGGCTGAGTTCCACATACCTCTCCTGTGTAGACGATCCCGAGTCTCTCCGACCTCTTAAGCTCAAGCCCTCATCAGTTAGTGAAGTGTTTGGTGCAAGTAACAGAGCACCACTGCGTTCTTCGGTCACAGCCGTATCCTCTTCGTCTGAGTCCCTTAGACCTCTCAGGGCCATGGAATCTGAAACCGGGAAGTAGACAAGCAAGCAGATGGATACCACGCAAAAGCAGAAGAGGGAGAGGAAGGCCAAGAAAGAAAGGGCTTCGAATATAATCTTGTCTGCTGCTGTGAGAACCGACAAACAGAGCATAACAATCCTTAATGGAAGGAAACTCGAGACGGAGAATATCAAAGTGTATACTCTCTTCTGTAAACGCTTGTTAATGACAAGTTTCAGTATCTGCCTTCCAAGCCAGAACAAGTAAGCTGTTAGGATGGCTGCAAACACACCAAGAAGGATTGTACTCAGTAGAGGATATGTGCATAAGGCGACCTCATCGTGATCAATATTAACTCGGGAATACGTTCTTGTGAAGTCGTGTGGCAGCTTTACATAAGAGCCACTACCACCATTTAGGTGTGACTCGGATAACACAACCGCAAGTTGAAGAGCAAGCATCGGGAGACAATAAAGAATAATATAACCTGCTGTGTTCCTGTTCCATTTTCCGCTCAAAGCCCCTGATTCCATCTTCAAGGGAGCACGCAAAAGAAACATGAGAGTCAGAAAGAGGCAAGGCTCCGCAAATCCTAGATTGGAAACGATGTACCACTTGCAAACGTTTTCTTGCCATCTCAGATCCAACCCACTCAATAACCTTCTGTGACGCCTCAACAAACTCAATCGAAAAATCTCACCAACAGCCCACCAGATAGCAAACAGAATGAATGTAATTCGGATAATCCAAGGACCACTGAAGTAACCAAGTTGAATATACCCTTGCTTACGAACGTGAGACTGGAAATAGAACGAGTAAGCGATGCAAAGGAGACCCAAAAGAACTAGCAGAGCGACTAGACATATCGTCACAACGCCGAATGCATCGGGAACTAATTTTGTCAGGGGCATCACCCAAAACACAGTATCCACGCATGCTCTCTACCAGCATGGATGCAGAAAAGTTCTCTAGCAATAGCAGTAAAATCTTCCTTTTCTCTCCCAACAAATTTCCAGATTAGTACCTACTCATCGATGAAAAAACGGAGAAAGATTGAACCTTTTACGCAAGCTATCAAACTCCACCAAGTCAGAGCAAGTTTCTGCAATTAGATTACAAAACAAAGCAGCCCAGATCACCCGATAGAACTTTTTGTGATCTTGACTCTTTAACACTTGATATGCGTGTTACCTACATAAACTAAACAACAACAAAAATCAAAACCAAATATACCAAAAATTGAAACAAAGACCTAACAAAACATCTTAACCCTAGATCTGAATACAATAGTCAAAGAAAACGGGTAATTAAAAAGTCATAACCTTTCTAAAAAACTAAAACCAACCCTCAAGATTAAGATGATTCCCACACAAAGCCAAGTCATAACCTTTAAACACAGAATCTTAAGAGATTATAACCAAAACTTCAAAGTCAATACACGAGAGAAGGAAATCGTGAAAACTAACGAATACCTAATAATGCAAATAGGGAAAAATCGAAACTTTCAGATCCAAAGAGAGAAATAACAAAGACCCATCAGAGAAAGAATCGAAATTGGTGAAATTGAAAGGGAGAAGAAAGCTTACAAGGAGGAGAATCTGGATCCAAAGAGTTGAAACGGGGAAGATCTGAGCGGAGGAGATTGATAAGAATCGGAGAAAGAGAAGAAGCAAATAAACAGAGAAAGGAGAAGGAAGAAGAAGAAGGAAAAGGAGAGATAGAGAAGAAGGAAGAAAAAAAAAAGATTAGAGAGAGAGAAGAAGGGAAGAGAGAGACTCTCCGTTGGTGACAGGCTGTTTCCAGCTGTGACAACCAAGGCTTTTGGATCCGGGTTCGGGGTTTTTTATGAGTTGGCGTCAGTTTCGGATCCGGGTTCGGGTTTGTTTTTTATTTTGTTTATTATATATACGTGGCTCCACCCTGGCGGCGTTTGTCTTTTACTTAATTTGTCTATGTTTATTATGGTAAAGTGAATTGATTTGTGAGATATTTTAAAAGGTCAAACATGGCAAAAAAATGGATGTATTTAGTATCCGATGAGTAATTTGGAAATATTAAATTGGACTTGATATGAAGAAAATATTCAGCTGTCTTTTTGAGAAGTGTTTTACATAGAGTACAAATTGTTAGGGAGAAGAATTGAATGAGACCATATAATAAATATGGTCAAAGATTATGTTTAGTTTTGAGAATTGTCAAGATGTGAATGATTCTTGCTTTTTTGTGAGTTTGGAAGGGGTTTAAGAAAGATAAGAAATATCATGTGTCGTGGATTAAGGCTGGGACAAATAAAACGTTAACTCAAGAACCGACAAAACCGAACCCAAAAAACGAAAAGTTTTTAAAATAACTGCATGGTTAGTAAAATCTCCGATCCAAACTAACTATGACTGAATTTTAACCGAATTGATAATCAAACGGAAACGGTTAATCGAAATATCCAAAAATCTAAAATATCTAAAAATAATACCCATAATATCCACAATTATAATTATAAACTCAAAAATATTTATCATTTTTAGACTCAAAGCAATCAAATAACTTTAAATAATCAATATATCCAAATGTTATTAGTTATATTTGTCAAAGTTTTAACTTTTAACTATTCGCAAAATCGAACTAAATTTTAATTTTCTTTCTAAATGTTTCCCTTTTTGTTTGTGTTTTTTGTATATTTTCGGTTAATTTCAGTTATTTGGGTAAAAACCGAACCAAACCGAACTCGATAAAATTTTGGTTAGTTATGGTTATCTATTCAAATATCCGAACCGAAAAAATCTAACTGATTAGAAACGAAATTTCTTAAATATCTGAATGACTATTATATTATCATATCCGAACTAACCGAAATCAAGTGCAACTATAACCAAAACCGAACGGTTAACCGAATGGACATGCCTATAGTGGATTATTGTAACTTGAGATTGGGCAAACAAGTCACAACTAGAGATTTTTAATAAAAGTGAACAAAAAAGGGGATAATCTTGTATATGACATAAGATTAGAGTATTTAGCGTAAAGCAAGTGTGTGATCTGGACCGTATCAAATTATTTCATAAACCGTGTTTTTAACAATTATTGAAAATATATATTTTATGAGGTAAATTAATTAAGGATATGACCGACCGCCAAATCTTGAAACAATCTCGGCTTTTATGATCTTGTCTTAAAATTCTTGATGATATCAATCTCGGCTTTTATGATCGGGCAATTGTTGATAATGTTCAACCTTACACACTTTACCATAAATTGACGCATAGAATTTCCGACTAGCTCTGTAGACATGTTAGGGTACAATACATACATAGTATAGTTTGAACTCTTCGCAGATGGCTGGAGGTAAATGTGTGCGTAGAAAATTGTAAAACAGTCGTTGAAATTAGCATAGATACAACATGTCTCCAGCATATATAAATGAAAATGTGGTTCAATGTTAATAAAAAAAAAACCCAATAAAATTCATCAAGACTAATTAAACCTTGTGATTCACCACTCACCTAATATCATCGGCTTGGTTGAGAGCCCAATGGAGACATTATTGTTGGGAATAAGTGTTGGTACCAAGTCTTTAAACCTAAAACTAATGTAACGTTCGTCCAACTGTACGACCATCTTATCTAAGCTCTTTGTGTTTTTAAGCGTAAATTCTATGAACGAAGTAACATGCTTTGTCTCTATATTCCGATGGGATTTGTTCAAAATGACCTTCCCATCTTTCGATCTCCAACATATGTTTGGATCCAAGCCTAGTGAGTCCAAGTAATTTGTCAAGTAACTCCCCTGCTCAACAGAAAGAAAAAAAAAACATGGTTCTTGGATTAGTCCAACTCGATGATAGTTAAAAGGGAGACCAAGGAAAACAAGAGAAGGGTACGGTAAATTTACCGGTATGGTGTTGCAATCCCTTGCTCGTACCATTAGCTTCTTTAATTCAAATGAGTTTTGTAACAATCTTTCTATACCAGGAATAACATACTGAAAGATTACCGTTTCAAGAATCAAAGTTTTGACCTTTAACATCGGAAAAGGAACACCACGAACACCAGCAAGAGATAAAATCTAATAGAAAGCACAAAATGACCGTGAATATCCAAACACTCGGTTACTTTGCAACCAATATGAGTGAAATAATTAGAGAATGTAAGATTGAGCCCAAAACATACCTGAAGAAAGTTTCCACCAAAAGTTAGCTTCTCAACATTCTGTAGTTTTTCCAGCATCTCTAGCACCATGGCTTGAAGTTGAGGAAAATCAGCCTTGAAGATCTCATCTCTTGATTTAATACAAATGTCCAGTTTCGCTTCGGTTAAAGACGAGATATCAACTAAAGTACATGGTAATTGAGAGGCTATCAATCTAAGACAATGGATATGTGGTGCAACAATCTGCGTTGGCCCTAGAAACTTAATGTGGCTGTTTATTTCTAATGTTCTCAAGTGCAACAATTTGCTGAGATCAAGAACCTTAATATCTTTGCAACTATACAATGTCAAACATTCATGATTCGGTCAACCAGATAAAAGCTTAGTAATAGATCCATAACGGAAACGACACAACCGCAATGACAATTTCTTTAATGATGGCCAAGATACCAAGCATTGACTAGAAATATAGGCTAACTCAATGTTGAGTTGTTTGATAGAGGAATTGATGAAGAAGGAAGCAGGAATTTTAAAACCAGTACCATAGACTTCAAGGGAAAGATTCTCCACGTTACGCGACATGGCGAATGTGATCCACTTCTTGATGTAGTAATTATTGTTCTTCAAGTTGTTTTTGAGACGAAAATACTTCATCTTGGGAGCTTTGTAGCACATTTGGGTTTTGTCAATCGAAGCAGGTCGTTGTCTACAATTACTAAAGGAGAGAGAAGGTGTATCGCACCATATATACCTCCATCGTTTTGACAAAAGGGAAGTTCTGATGGCGAATTTGGTCGGACTAAAGGAGAGGATATGTTGGAGGATCTCATCAGGTAAAGAGCTGATTAAGTCTTTTGCTCTCTTCTTTTCATGGAGGCGGCGACGCAAACGACGGCGAGGATTGTAGCGGTTCACCATCTTTTTCGGTGAAAAAGGTTTTAGGGTTTTAAAAAACGTTTCATATTTTAACAAAAAAAAAAAAAATGATTTTCTAGGTTTTTCTCTCACGAGGTAATTCCAAAAACCCTAGGCTTTTGTTTTTCTTCCGTCACAATATTTCCTTGGTCACCACGTTTTCTTATGGTCTCTTTTGTTCTTCACTTGACACTTCTTCTTCTCACTCAGCAATGCTTAGAATAAAAATGGCAGGATCAAATTATAAAACTCTGAGTACCCTCTTCTGCTTTGCTTCAAAATATCGCACAACCGCCGGAATTTCTCTAAGAACGCACTACAAGAAAACATAGCAATTTCCGACGAACATTTCCGACGAAATATTTAGTCGGAATTATTCCGACGGATTTCCGACAAACTTCCAAGAAAATAATATTTCGTCGGAAACTCGTCGGAAACATAAAAACTTTTCCGACGATTAAAAATTCGTCGGACTTTCGTCGGAAATATTTGTCGGAAACCATGGAAAATTCCGACAATCCAATGTCATCGGAAACTGCTCGGAAACTTGTCGGAAAATTTGTCGGAAAAAACTAGGTAAACACGTGATTATTCACTGCACATGTTCCGACGTAATCCCGACAACTTGATCGAAAAAATTAGTCGGAAAACTTGTCGGAAATTCTAAAGTGGCTACCTTTAATATTTCCGACGAATTACCGACAAAATGTCATCGGGAAGTTCTGTCGGAAATTCGTCGGAAATATTAAAGGTAACCACTTTAGAATTTCCGACGAATTTCCGACAAACTTTCCGACGACATTTTGTCGGAAATTCGTCGGACATATTAAAGGTAACCACTTTAATATTGCTGACGAATTTCCGACAAAATGTTAGTCGGAAAAGTTTTATATATATACTAGACAATGAAAGAATCATAAACACAAGAAAATAGTTGAAAAAAAAAAAACAGACACACAAGAAAATCTTGGAAAAAAAAATGTCTTCTCATAATATTTATAAAATTAGAGAGTGGATGTATAATCGATTAGATGATGAGACCGGAGCTATGAGGCAGGAGTACAAGGAAGGTTTAATGGAATTCATGCAGTTTGCATCTAATCAAGAAATGACGCGTATCGAAGGTATTATGGCATGTCCTTGTGTCAAATGTTGTAATGATCATTTTCTTGCAAAAGACATTGTTTGGAATCATTTATATTGGGGAGGTTTTACACCAGGATATTATATATGGTTTTCTCACGGGGAGGATTTTAGATCGGGTCCTAGTAGTAGTCGTGAAAGAAGAGATGAAAACGTTATAATTAGCGATGAGCATATTCACCAGGAAGAAGATAATGTAATTGGAAGTGGTAGTGGTGAATTTCATGATAACGTAGAAAATACTAATGTTGCGGAGGAACCCAACTTAGAAACACAGGGATTTTTCGATATGTTAGATGCTGCAAATCATCCGATATATGCAGGATGCAGAGAGGGTCATTCTCCTTTATCCGCCGCAACACGTATGATGAACATCAAAACAGACTACAATTTAAGTGAAGATTGTGTTGATGCGTGGGCTGATTTTATCCACGATTATCTACCGGAAGATAATTTATCGCCAGTTTTATACAACGCAATCCAAAAATTGGTATATGGGCTAGGTTTACCATTCCAAATGATTGACGTGTGTAGAGAAAATTGTATGATTTTTTGGGGAGATAATGTAAATATGTCTCAATGTCGTTTATGTGGTGCTGAAAGGTTTCAGGTTACTAGTGGGCGAAACAAAATACCATATAAGTGTATGTGGTATTTGCCCTTGGCTGATAGGTTGAAGAGGTTGTATCAATCAGATCGGACAGCGGAGGGTATGCGATGGCACGCTGAACATGAATTCACCGGGGAGATTTCACATCCATCGGATGCATCGGCCTGGAAACATTTTTGTTCTACATATCCAGTCTTTGCTAATGAACCAAGGAATGTCTATCTTGGTTTATGCACGGATGGATTCAATCCATTTGGAAAGTCAGGTAGAAAATATTCTTTGTGGCCAGTAATAGTCACCCCTTACAATCTCCCACCTTCCCTTTGCATGAAAAGAGAATTTCTTTTCTTAACCATTTTGATTCCTGGTCCAAACCACCCTCGTCGTTCACTTGATGTGTTCCTACAGCCGCTTATAGAAGAGTTAAAAATGTTATGGTACCAAGGGGTTTGGGTATATGATGTCTCCACGAAGACAAATTTTGACATGCGTGCTGTATTGATGTGGACTATTAGTGACTTTCCCGCATATGGCATGTTATCGGGTTGGACAACTCATGGAAGACTGTCATGTCCATATTGTCAAGATAATACAGATGCCTTCCAACTAAGACATGGCCGGAAATCAAGTTGGTTTGATTGTCATCGTCGTTTTCTAAGACGAAATCATCCATATCGTCGTAGTAAGACGTTGTTCCGCAAGAACAAGAGTATCCGTGATCCACCGCCACCTGAGTATGATGGTGATTATATATTGAATCAATTTCGTGATTTTGATGTTGACTGTACAGCATCGGTAGGGGGTAATGGCCATGTCCGAATTGATGGATATGGAGAACATCATAATTGGCATAAAAAAAGTATCTTCTGGGAGTTACCGTACTGGACAAATCATCTACTCCGCCACTGTCTTGACGTTATGCATATTGAGAAGAATTTCTTTGACAATATAATTAACACCATTTTAAATGTCGCGGGTAAGACTAAAGATAATGTCAAATCCAGAATGGATTTACCCGATATATGTGCGCGCGAGGATCTCCATTTGCTTGCAGACGGAGTAGGTCCTATTCCTATATGGAGATTAGATGCAAGCAAGAAGACCAAGTTTTTTCAGTGGATAATTGATGATGTTAAATTTCCTGATGGCTATGCATCAAATCTATCATATTGTGTTGATGATCACAGTGGTAGATTAGCTGGGATGAAAAGTCATGACTGTCACGTCTTCATGCAGCGTTTACTACCATTTGCGTTTACACAACTCCTACCAAATGTTGTCCATGAAGCAATTGCAGGTACAAACAACTTATCTTTCAATTATTTTAATATGTTATTATTCATGTATATATTCTTTTTTTGTTTACAGTTATTAATTAAATTGCAGGTATAGGTGCATTTTTTAGAGATTTGTGTTCAAGATCTCTAACAGTCGAAGGACTACATACACTTGAAGATAATATCCCGATTATCATTTGCAATTTGGAGAAATTATTTTCCCCATCATTCTTTGATGTCATGGAGCACTTGCCTATCCATCTACCTCGTAAAGCAGCACTAGGCGGTCCAGTTCAGTACCGGTGGATGTATCCTTTTGAGCGTTTTATGTTCCATTTGAAGAAAAAAGTTAAAAATCTTAGCAAAGTTGAGGGATCAATAGTAGCTCAAAGCATAAACGAGGAGACTTCTCATTTTTCGGCCTACTATTTTGCTCCAAATGTCCAAACAAAAGCAAGAAAACCAGGTAGGTACGATGATGGGGGTGTGCGGCCTTTTTACCATACATCTGTCCCAGATATCTTTTCTCAAATCGGGAGACTGAGTGGGAAGAAAAGAGAAGTATGGTTTACAGATCAAGAATTTAATCACATTCATACTTACATCCTCCGGAACTGTGACGATGTCATACCATTCGAGAAGTAAGAAACAAAATTCATACCTTAATAATACGCATATATTATTTGCAAAATAATTACTTATACAAAAAAAACAAATGTCTGTAGGATCTTTGATGATCAAGTGTCTGGAGAGTATCCAAACATGACAGAGGCTCGAAAAGAGGAAATGAAGCAGACACAATATGCTAATTGGTTAAAATATTATGTAAGTTTTCACCGTTGATTTTACATATATTATGAACATGGTTACTATTTATTAAAATCGTACATTTGCTTGTATGTTTTGCAGATCAAATCAGCCGCAAGTAGGCAGGAACACTATCCAACATGGTTTGAAGAGTTGGTTGGAGGTCCTCTATCAAGGGCAATGGCATACCCGATGTATTGCACTCGAGGCTACGTTTTCATAAAACGTCCAGGGATTACTAACAGAAAAACAGTGAATTATGGGGTCGTTGTTCGTACAGATTCGATAGACTACTATGGTGAAATTACTGATATATTAGAGGTTGAATATCCGGGAGTCATAAATTTGAAATGTATACTCTTCAAGTGTGACTGGTATGATCCTAGAGTTGGAAGAGGTGTTAGACTTACAAAGTATGGTGTCACAGAGATCAACTCGACTAAGCAGTTAAGAAAGTATGATCCGTTTATACTTGCATCTCAGGCAGCACAGGTTTGCTACATACCATATCCACAAGTAGGTGTTCGACAATATCCATGGATTACGGCTCATCAAATAAATCCAAGAAGCAGAGTTGATGGGGTGAAAGAAAAGGAACCGCTACAACAAATTGCAGTAAACAAAATTACGCAAGTAGATCAATCTGTCGGTGACATTCCCCTCGTTGATATTGAGAACATAGAAGTCGAACAGATATGGGAAAATGCGGAAGACGAAGAGGATGGAGAAGAGTTTGAAGATCAAAATGATTCTGCTAGTTCAGATTATTCTTCCGATTCTGAGTAAATCAAATATATCTTCTTTAGTTTTATATATATATTTTATAAAATCTGTTTAAATGCTTTTAAATTTATCATATTATATGCATTATAATTTATTTGTTAAAAAAATCTGTTTCTCATTTTATAATAATTAAACCATTCTAATATTTTATTTTATTCATACTTTCGTCGGAACTGTCGTATGAAACGTTTGAGATTAAATTTGTACCGCTTAAATATATCTTCACTTGGTTCAATATATTTAATTAAAGAAATACTTGAGACAAAATAATTAAAATTATTTAAATTAATATACCCTGTTTCCGACGAATTTTCCGACGACATTATTTTCTCCGTCGGAAAATCGTCGGAATTAGGATATATTGAAATGAGGTTCCGATCGGTGCACAACCGATCGGCACAACCGAGCGGCAATGCCCTGTTTCCGACGAATTTTCCGACGACATTATTTTCTCCGTCGGAAAATCGTCGGAATTAGGCTATATTGAATTAATTTATTTTTTTTACTTTTCTTTCAGAAATACTGAAGCGGGAACATTTTCCAACGAATGTTCCGACAAATTTTTAAATTTCGTCGGAAAATTCGTCGGAATTAGTTACATTAATTTCTCCGCCGCTCGAGATAAGTAAACGGCAATAGATTTAATGCCAAATTTCCGACGAATTTTCCGACGAATTATAAAAATTTGTCGGAACATTCGTCGGAAATTAAATCTCGCGGGAACTTTTTCCGACAAATTTTCCGACAAATTTTTAAATTTCGTAGGAAAATTCGTCGGAATTAGTTACATTAATTTCTCTGACGCCCGGGAAAAGTAAACGGCAATAAATTTAATACCCTATCTCCGACGGAATTTCCGACGACCATATTTGTCGGAAATTGGACATTAAATCTCGCGAATCTCGTAAATGTAGAGGGAAAGTTAATTGGTTTGAAATTCCCGCTGCATTGTTTCCGACGAATTTTCCGACAAATACCCAATATCCGACGGAATTTCCGACGACCATATTTGTCGGAAATTGGACATTAAATCTCGCGAATTCCTGCTGGATTGTTTCCGACGAATTTCCGACAAATATGGTCGTCGGAAATTGTTATATATATACGACTCACAGATTTTTACCTCTTACACACTTCTCACTCTTATAAAATCTCTCTAAAATCTCTCTAAAATCTCTCTAAAATCTCTCTGTGAATCTAAAATCTCTCTAAAATCTCTACAAACGTTAAGGTAAGATGTTTAGTTTTATTTTCTTCATAATTTTGTTTATAAAATTCAAAAGACTAATTATAAATTTTTTATTTGATTAAGGAGATGGATAATGGATCGTGGAGTGGATATATGGCGTATTGTAATGAACGTGGGTTTGCTCCGGATTTGAATCTTGGGCAAAATTTTGGTTCCGAAACCCAACCACCGGATGATTTTCCCATGGAGGACACGGAAGTTTCGGAGACGGAACCAATGGCGATGCCTACACGGAATGATGATGCAAATCTACTCGATTCTATGACGCTAGACCAATTACTCCGTGCGCCGGGTCGAGATAAATTGAAAAAGATCGACCCAAGCCGTATGAACGGAACAACTTGGTAAGAAATTGTATTATTTAATTTATAGTTTTACGTAGATAATCTCAATTAAATAATTTGGTAATTATAGGTATAGATTCGATAAAGGATTCACAAAGATTATCAAGAAAATCATGGAGAGCGATTTCCCCGATCCCGCTCCGAATCTTACGTCGGTCTCCGGAGACACAAAGAAACGTTGGTTTAAGGCATTTGCGGTTAGTTTATTTAAATAAAATTTATGCTTTATTTACTTTGTTTATAATTGTAGCTAAAAAAATTAAATTTTAAAATTTTACAACACTAAAAATATATATATTTTAAATTGTTTAACATTGTAGCAAAAATTTTATTGGGATTATGGTCTTACGGCCGAAGTACAAGAAAAATTTGAGGAGATATGTGGGAGTCGTTTATTGGATTATGTTTATGGATGGAAAAAGAAATGGCTTAACGGGAAAGAAAAGCCAAATTGGATGCGAGAAAACGTTTGGCAAGGGCTTATTGCATATTGGTTACAAGAGCAAAATAAATCCCGTAGTGAAACTAATTCTCAAAATCGCAAGAGTAAACGCGGAGGCTATGGCATGGCTAAACATACTTGTGGATCAATGCCATATGTCCGGAAAAAGGAAAAAATGGTAAATAAAAATTTAAATTTTTTACATTTCAATTTGCATTATAATAAATTTTATTGTAAATTTTTAACTAATAAATATTTTAAATGCAAGCGTAATCCCGAAACCGGTGAGTATCCCGATATGGTGACATTCATGGAGGAGACTCACAAACGGAAATCGGACGGGACATTTGTTGATAAAAAAGCTGAGGCAATAGCTCGTCGATGTCGGGAGATGGAGAAAGAGAAACTCACACAATTGAGTCAACATTCGGACACGCCTGATGATTATCAACTCACCCAAGCAGAAAAAAACGATATTTTCCGATCGGTAAGTAATAGTAATTAAAATATTATAATTTAGATAATATGTTTTATTTCCTAACAACATTTTCATTATAATAGCAAGTTGAAGTTAAAAAAGGACGTAGATTTGGATTCGGTTCCATTCCGTTTGACGAAGACATGGGCGGAAGTTCGTCATATTCACATGCACACGTGAATTGTCAAGAAAACGCAGCCGAAATCATCGAGTTGAAGAGTCAATTAAAAGATTGTAAGTTTTGGATGGATATGATGGCCCGTCTTCATCCCGACATCGTTCCGCCTTCTCGCCATGATCAACCCGGAAATGCAAATGAAACAAATAACGTTGACACTCTATTTGATAATATATAATATTCGCGTTTGTAATAATTTTTAGTTGTTTAAGAACTTATTAATGTTTAATTATGTTTTTTATATTATGTGGTGAATTTTATTTTTTTTAATTATGTTTTTATATAATATTTGTGTTTGTTTTATTGAATTATTACAATTAAATTAAATTAATATTATTTAATTTAATTAATTATATTAATTAACAATAAAATATAAATATATTTTTTTAATAAAATATAATATTTCGTCGGAAATTCATCGGAAAATAATAAAAAAATACGATTTGTCGGAAATTCGTCAGAAACTATTAAATATATTATTATATTATATTTTGTCGGAAATTCGTCGGAACATTCCGACGAACTTCCGACGATTTGTGGTCGGAAAATCGTACTCGATCTTGCGGCGTCGTTTGTAGGAATCTCCTCGGAATGGCGTCGGACTATGCCGTCGGGATATCGTCGGCAATTTTCCGTCGCTATTCCGACGGACATTTCCGACACCTTTCCGACGGGCTTTCGACGAATATTTCCGACGATTTTCCAACAAATATTTCCGACGAATTTTCCGACAACTAATCTCGACAGAAATTTCTGACGAATTTCCGACGAATATTGTTTTCCGACCAGAGAATTCCGACAAACTTGATGTAGTCGGAAATTCGTCGGAAACATCCATTTCCGACGAATTTCCGACTATTTGGTTTGTCGGAATTTGCTATGTTTTCTTGTAGTGACGGCTGAGATTTTCCGATCTCTTCAGACTCCGGCAATCATCAGACCAGGTATACATTTATCCCTATCTCCGCCCTCAAATTTCGTTTCAAATCTTGAAACAGAAGTAATTAGGTTTTGATGGAAATGTCATTATATTTGTCCTTTAATGTATTAGATTCGACCTATGGAAGCGATACAAGGCAGAATCAAGCGTTAGAGACTCTTCGTAAATTGGGAGTAGAATTTAGTGAAGAAAATTGTAAAGCATTCGTTACAAAGAAGATAGATATTTCCATTCGATGTGGTGGAGGTCGAGCACAAATCATGAGTGCTTTCAAATTTCTAAAAGAAGAAGGTCTCTCCATAGAAGAAGGAATGTATAGTTCTTGTCTTTGTTACTTAATTGATGAAAAAATGGAAAAGAAGTTCAAGTTTCTTATCAGAATACTCAAAGAAGAGATTCCTGATTCTTCACCAGTACTTGGTTACTATGAAATGCTTTTTTGGATTGAGCTTAATGATGTACAAAAGATCGAGGAGATTGGTTGTGGCATCATCGATAGATGGGGCAAGCTATCGAGCTTGGAAGGTAAGGCGCGGAAATTTGTTTTAAGAGGAAATATCTCTCGATACATTCTTAACTCTTGTGATAAAATATGCAGTACATTATCTGGAAGCATTGTGTGTTGGAAATGAGGATGAGTTTCTGAAGACGTTGTTAGAAACTGTAGACATAACCAAAGCTTCTTCGTTGGAAGAATTGGCACCAATTTTTGAATATCTTGGACGGTCGGAATCATTGGTTGAAGCTATCAGGTTACTTGGGAAGCTGAAAACGACTTGTAAGTTGTCTTTTGTTACATCAATAAAATGATTTTAAATTTTCAAAGCCTGAATTTAATTATTTTGCAATCTATTGCAGTAAGCCCTGAGCATATTTCACTCCTCATTTTTTGGTACGCAACTAGCATCGAGTATGTCTGGGTGAGTTATTCTTGCATTCAGGTTTTGATTGCTCAATAGCTCGAACTTATCGTGGAACATGTTTAGGATTAATTCAGGCATGGCTGGTCGTGGAGCATACTAAACCTAATTAAAAACCAAAGAGTTCTTCCCTTATCTGTTTGTTACCTCATGAGTATTGAGTTGTTTAAGGATAACACTTTTGTCTCCATATATCGAACCAAAACATTACTAGAGTTGATTGAAATCAGCAAATGTGAGTATTGTTGATATTGTGATATAGAAATGAGAAAAATTGGTTTGGCTTGAAACTAATTAGTGGCTTTCCTGATTTGGTTTGATTCGAATCAGGAAGAACATGGCCGGAATGGTGCCATTGAGACATGTAAAATGCTTCACAGTGAGTTAAGTATTAAGCCTTCATTGGAATTGTTTGAGAAGCTTATCGCATTTGAGTGTTACTCAGAAAACTATTCTAAGGTATATCTTTTTATGTCTTTACTCTTTAGTAATGGAAATTGTAAGGAACTAAAGAGCTAGCAACTTTGATCGGACTTTTTTTTCCATGTGTTTCACTTTGGTTGTTGTTATGTTTGATTGGTAACACTTTTGTATGGTATTATAGGTACCATCTGCAGCAAAAATAGTTAGTGAAATGAGTCTATATGGTTTGGTAGAAGATACGGCCGAGGGGGAATATTTTTACAACACGATTGAGAGGATTTATGGGGCTGATTGGGTATGTCGTTATATTATTATTTCAATGCCTAAATCACCAGCTCATACACATTATTTAAAATATTTATTTACTAAATAACTAAACCTCAAGAGCGTGAGTTAAACCAATATAGTAATCTCATATCAATTACCATGATATTTGTTTAAATTATACATGAAACATATGCGGTAAGTGAACCAACTTATTTATGATTTTGCCATTCTTTCGCATTTGCATATTCTTTACTGAGAAAACCAAAGATGTTTGTGTTCTTAGTCCTTTGTGTCTTTCGTAGCTGGGAACTACAGGAGCCGTGATCAGTGCTATGGGGTCGGAACAGTTTAAACTATACAAGTTGCTCGAAATGTTCCAAGAGTACATTGGTAGAACAAGCAGAAGATCAAGATCAAGACCAAGATCAATGTTACGTCATTTGTGCCTCGACTTTGATTGAAGACTGACACATAATTGACGATTGGATGTTTAATGTTTATGTTCAGCTCTCATATTTATTAAATTACACACTTCTGGTTCGGATTTTCTTTATCCCATCTTAAAATTGTTAATTGAATTGACGAGTAAGGGTTACATTTTTTACAGGGTTTTTGAATTTTTGGTGTTCAATTTTAAGCACTCTATTTATTTCATAGCTTTACTTAATAAATGGGCCTACGATTGAGAAAAATGGCCTTGCCCCGCAAGTAATGCAAATAAATAATTTCTATAATCTAGAAACTAGTAGAAACCCTAATCTTTTCTTTTCTTTTTTCTTTTTTATTTTCCCACTGCTATTGATTTTGTTTTTCATGAACTCAATCTACGCTTAGGATTTCGAGTTAGAAATGCCGAAAAGCCTCATCACCACATTCGTCAGCCTCGCCGTGAGATTCACCGAAAAAGCCACAAGAAACACCAGATTTTCTAGGGCTCTTAACACTCGAGCCATTTCTGAACTAGGTACTCATAAACCCTAATTTCCTAGCTAAAATTCCAAGATCAGAACATTTCATTTGTAACATCGGTCTACCTTCTTTTCTTTCGAATATATTACTGATTCTCTTGTTGTGGCTCTGTAGATACTTTCAGTGAAATTTCAGAACAAAAATCGCCTGATTATGCTTCGAAAACGAGCGCATATGCGAGTCTACGATCTGCTCTCGAAACTGGTGCTGAAACTTCGAGTCAAGCGTTATATACCCTTGAGACATTAGGATTCGTAGATCTTTTAGAAAAATTGTGAAACAGCGATTCTACTTAACATACAAAATGCCAAGAGTAGCAACAATGAAGAGAATGCTATTGAACAGATGGCAAAAGCTTTCGAGCTTATGGTAGCCATGGAAAGAGTAGGTTTCTGTGTAGAAGAAAGAATTTATGGTCCTCTTCTAACGTTCTTGATAGATATGAAAACGGTAGAAGAATTCTATATGACTTTCGATATGATTAGGTATGGTCAAAGGATTTCTAATTCTTCTCCAGAATTTGCGAGACTTGGTTACTATGTAATGCTTCTTTGGATCCAACTCAAAGACGAAGAAAAGATCAACGAAGTTTGTTCTATGATTATCAAAAAATATGAAGAGTATTGTAGCTTTAACCGATGTCGATTAACAGAAATGTATCTGCTTGCACTTTGTGAGAAAGACCAGCATAAGGAGGTTTTGATGATATTAGAGACTCTAGACACAAGAGTCTGTTCTTTCAAGATTTTGACAAGTATTTTCGAGTACCTTGGAAGGTCGATATCAGAATCTGTTGCCAAGAAACTTCTCCGTGAATTGAACAAGAAAGGTACTCAGAGACACATAAGACCAGTTTACTTGATGTCTATTACACTCTCTGTTAGCATTCTAACTTTTTAAATTAAGTTTGCATTTGTAGGGATTTTCTGGTTTAGAAGTAAGAAAGTCTCTGAGCTGATCTTTAGCTACGTAACCAGCATTCCTAACATGTGGGTAAGTAAGTAGAAATTAAAAACCCTTATTTTTGCTTAAAATGTTTCTGGTCAAGAAAACAAAATATGTCATCTCTAATGTTTTGCTTGGCATAATTATAAGGTTGGTAGTGCCGTTTTCAAGTTCAACGAGTTACTCGAAGAGCTTAAAGTTTCCCCTTCAACGGCATCATATCAGAAGCTTATCAAATATAGTTGCGACTCACGAGAGGTAATTTTGATTCTAGCTAGATGTTTTCAGTGAAGCTTTCTTCATTCGTTTAATATGTTATTATAGGAGGAAACCGGTTTATGGATATTAGAACACATGTATGAAGTGGGTCTAGAAGTATCATCAGACACTGCCGTTTACCTTTTTCGTACCATTGAGCAGAACTATGAGTTTGATATGGTATGTGAAGGCTCAGTATACATTGTTTACTTATATCTTAATGTTGTATAGTTTCAACGCCTTGAAATTATATTAATTTTACGTGTGTGTGCAGCTTAGAGCTGTACAAAATGTGCTTAGAAGGATGAGTAAAGAAAAGGACGAAAGTAGAATGTTCAATCTTCGGTTAGCTGTATACATTTGGGAGGTGATTTATTTTTTGTCTTTTTTTGAAACAGAAAGAAAGAATGACCTTTGTGTTTTCATGTGTTACATTTTTGTTTAGTTTTTAACCTTTTGTTTTGTTTTGTTTTTGGAAGGTATTGTTTGGAAGATGTGAACCAAAGCATAAGGAAGGAGGTCATTATAAACCATGGTTAAAGGACAACTATTATATTTTCACACTGGAAGATTATGAGAACCGTTCTCCTTATCCAATTGAGAGAGAAGATTATGGTTATGACTATGAGGAGGAGTATTATTGCGGGGATGATGACTCTGCTAACTCTGTTTCTGGGTCGTAGCCATATGTCTTGATCTCCAAATGTTTTCAGGTGTTGGCTGACTTATTTGTAGGCTTCGGGGACTTGTCTTAATCAATTACATTGTATGAGGAAATAAGCTCCTTTTTCATTAGTTTTCAAATACAATCTCGTTTGTGTTTATTTATGCGTTTGTATTGGTGAAGGTATTTGCGTTTGACCAGAGACAAGAATTTAGAAGTGTTCTCTTTAAGTCTTAGCACTGGTACTGTTAGCCATCCTCAATCCGTTACTCGACTCGCTCCCACCTTAGAGATATCCATAAATATAGCATGTTGTTTCTTCTCTTTTGGGATGTGACTTGGTTATCAAGATTATTAATTCACCCAATAAGTATATATAACTTGGACAGAAATTACTGTCTTTATTTTAAGAATATAGAAAATGAAGAACAATTTATGGTAGATTTATGAAACTCTTAAATACGCATGAATTTAAAGAAATACATAAATTTATATATAGGATCTGTCTTAGCTAAAAACCATAATGTTTAGATAACGTCGTACCAATACTTAAGATTTTTTATAGACCTATAATCGTTTTGATATCGTTACGTAGTACTTCTAGAGTATATATCTGCAATCAAATTGTTCCAAAATCGACGAAGAAATGTTTAAAACTATAGCTATAATCGCTTTGAAAACCATACACCAGCTTTTCATAAATAATAGTTTGATACGCTTGAGCATATATATCTTTTTGTTAACAACTTAATATTACTTGGGTGACTCAAACAAGCCTCCGGAGAAATATTGTTTACATATGAAATAAAGTGCGGTTGTACATGGACGCCTAAGCATATTTCATAGCTCATTTCTACGTACCACATGGTGAGTCTTGGATTCAGGTTTTGATTGCTCAATAGCTTGAAATTATCGAGGAAATTGTTTAGGATTCAGGCATATCGCTGGTCGATCGAGCATGTTTAATTAAGAAACAATCAAACCAAAGAGTTCTTATCTAATCTTTTGTTAATTACCTCATGACTTGTTTAAGGATAATACTTTTTTCTCTATGAATCAAAAAGTATTACTAGAGTGTTGATTGAAAATTTGAAATGATCAATTGTGGCTATTGTCGATTTTGTGACATTAAAAAGAGAAAAATGTAGGATTCTGTCATTTGCCTTGAAACTACAATGTCTTTTTGCTTTGACTCTACATTCCAGCGACATGTTCTATTAGACACCTTTTTTGATCTCTAGCATTGATCCAGATTCAAGCCTTGTAAAGTGTCTGTCAAGATACTTCCCCTGCTCAACATAAAGAAAAATACATGGTTCTTGGATTACTCAAAACTCGATAATAGATAGAAGAGGAGCCAATGAAAATAATAGAAGGTTACTGTAAATATACCTGTCTGGTGTTATCCTTTGCGCGTACTGTTAGCTTCTTTAAATTAGGTGAGTTTTGTAACATTCTTTCTATATCAGAAATAACAAAATGTTCCATCTTAAGGGTCAAAGCTTTGACCTTGAACATGGGAAAAGGAACACCACGTTTCTCGGGAATAGATGATAAATTCTAACAAAAAAACACAACAAGACCGTGAATACCAAAACACATATTGATTAATATATAAACGGTCCTAAACTTATATGGCCTAATGAAAATTAATACATCAGCAAAAGTTGAATTTGCAACCAATATGAGTAAAATTAGTAAAAGAGTTTTAGGCATTAGAGAATGCAAGAATTAATGAACCTAAAACATACCTGAAGAGAGCCTCCACTAAAAGTAAGCTTCTCTACATTCTCTAACTTTTTTAGCATCTCTAGCATCGTGGCATAAAGAAAATCAGCCTTCAAGGACATGTTCAATGGGAAAATGATAATGTCCAATACTTCAGCTTCGGTTAAGGACGAGACATCAACTAGAGTACATGGTAATTGAGTGTTTCTCAATTTGAGACAATTGATATGTGGTGCCACAATCTGCGTTGGCCCTGGAATCATAATGTGGCTGTTTATTTCTAATGTTCTCAAGCGCAGCGATTTGCTGAGATCAAGAACATTAAGTTTTCCGCAGTGATACAATGTTAAACATTCGAGAATCGGACAACCAGATAAAATTTTAGCAGATTCATCAGGTAAACCACAATACCGCAAGGACAACTTCTTCAGGGATGTCCAAGACACACCGTGTCCGGGAATCACATCAGAAAAATCTAACTTATGGTTGAGTGGCTTGAAATAGGAGTTGATGTCGGAGAAACGAGGAATCTTTTTACAACGAAAAAGGACATCAAGGGACATATTCTCTACGTTGCGGGACATGGCAAATTCGATCCACTTCTTGATGTGGTGAACATTGTTATTCTTGTTGATTTTGAGATGAAAATCCATCATCTTTGGAGCTGTGTATTTAGCTAGGGCTTTGTTTATGGCATCAGCTTCCTTAATATTATCAAAGGAGAGAGAAGGTATGTTGCACCATACATGCCTCCATCGTTTTGACAAGACGGAAGTTCGGATGGCGAATTTCGTCTCAAAAGAGAAGAGGATATGTTGAAGGATCACATCAGGTAAAGAGCTGATTGAATCTACTTCTCCTTTGATTTTCCGGCGACTGTTGCGGTCGCTAGGGACTCTTACACAGGCGGCAGAGTTGTCTGCCATTTTAATTTGTTTTTTTTTTCTTAGGGTTTTTAAACCCTTTTATAACAAAAAAAAAAAAGTATTCCTAAAACCCTAGGCATTTTTCATTCCGTCACAAAATTTCCTTGTTCATCAAGTTTTCTTCTCTTCCTTCTATCTCTCTCTGATTGAGTCAACTTCTCTTTTCATCTTCACCTCTTCGTCTCATAAAATGCTTCCGATTCCAAAAATGGCAGCATCAAAGGCTAAAAGCCTAAGCAACCTCCTCGGCTTCGCGTTTAAATATCGTCAAAACTCAGCCTCAGCCACCGCGAATCACGCCGGAATTTCTTACAGATCGGCTGAGATTCCCCGGTGTCTTCACACTTATTCAAACGACGAACCAGGTATTTTCATATTTCGTTCCATCTTGAATCAGAAGAAATTAGGGTTTGCTAAGAAACGTCATTTCGGTTTTTTTTGGGGTCCAATTATTTTAATAGCTTCAGCTTCCACTGCAGAGGAACCAAAAATCGAAATCGAAACGTGGAATCAAGATATTGAAACTCTTCGAAGATTGGGAGTAATAGTGAGCGTAGAAAGTTGTAAATCAGTCGCAATAGATAACATAGAAGAGTCCATATTCCCCAACCCCAATAGGAGATTATCATTCAGAATTATACCGAGAATAGATGAAAACTCCGTTCTCTCTAGTGAAGGTCGAGAAAAACTCATGAGTGTTTTCGAATTTATGAAGAAGCAAGGTCTCTCAATAGAAGAAGAAATGTATAGTTCTGATCTTTGTGAGTTAATTAATGAGCATAGCAAAGAGGAGTTTCAGTTTCTTATTAGAAAAATCAAGGAGGCGTTTCCTGATTCTTCATCGGGACTTGGTTACTATGAAATGCTTTCATGGATTAAGATTGACGACGAAGAAAAGATTGAGGAGATTTGTCGAAGAATCATCGACAGATGGGACAGGCTATCGAGCTTGGAAGGTACGAAATTAATGTGTTGAAAACTTGTTAAAAATGAATATCTAACATTTAATTCTTGGGATGAATTTGCAGTGAATTATCTGGAAGCATTTTGTGTGACATGTCTATATGAGTATCTTCAAAGACTGTTAAAGACTGTTGACATAACTAAAGCTACTTCGTTGGACCAATTGACACCGATATTTGAATATCTTGGACGGTTGGATTTGATGATTGATGCTAAGAGGTTACTTGGGGAACTGAAAGGGACTGGTAAGTTGTGTTATTTATACACTAATCTTTATTACATTTATCAAACTATGACATTTTCAAAATTTAAACTTTGAATTATTTGCAGCATGGGCTGAACATATTTCACACCTCATTTTTAGCTACGCAACTAGCAGCGTCCACGAGAACGAGGTACGGTGAGGTATTCTTGGATTCAGGTTTTACTAGTTCTTATGTGAAAGAATGAGATTCAAAAACTTTTACTTTTTTTTTTTTTGGTTCATGAAAAACTCTCAAGCCAAAGAGTTTCTATCTAGTCATTTGGTACACCATGACTTGTTTAGGGATAATACTTTTGTTTCCATCGACCTAAAAACATTGTTAGACATGATTGAAACGAGCAAATGTGACTATATATGGTCGGTTTGTGACATTGAAATAACAAGATTTGAGGTTCTGTTATTTGTCTTGAAACTCATTAGTGGCTTTCCTGACTTGGTTTGATTCGAATCAGGATATACCTGGGAAGGCCAACGCATTTGAGATGTGTAGGGTCCTGCATACAGAGGTCGGGTTTAAACCTTCCTTTGAATTTTTTGAGAAGCTGATCGCATTTGAATGTGACTCACAAGATGATCATCATTACTCACAACATGATCATCGTAAGGTATATAATATAATTTGTTTTCTTTACGAATGAACATTGAAAGGAATTCAAATAAAACCAATTTGAGCTAGCAACTTTGATAAGGTCTTTCCTTGAATCTCTTTGATGTTTGATTGGTAACACTTTTGTATATTTTAGATACCACTTGCAGCAAAAATAGTAGATGAAATGAGGGAAAATGGTTTGATAGAAGACTCGGAGGACGGGCGTTATTTTCACGACACCATTGAGAAGATTTATGGGATTGATTGGGTATGTTTTTTTGTTTCTTAACTATTATCTTAATGCCTAAATCACCAGATCGTACTCATACATTATTGACAACAGTTTATTTGTTAGATAAACCAAAGTTTCTATCAAAACTGGCAAAACAAATATGTAATAGTAATACTGTTAATGTAGTAAGTATTTCCACATGGTGTCAAAAAAAAAAAAAAAAAGTATTTCCACATGTTATCTAAAGATCCAACTTATATACTATGTGTCATCCAATGTTTTTGAAATTAGAAGATTAGAGATGTTAATATGGGTAAACCCAGCCCATTTAGACCCACCCTATTTAAAACCTACCCCATTTACTGTAAACCCATATAACTCCATTTAAGTTTACAACCCATTTATCTCAATCCATTTAAGTTCTAGTAACCCATTTAAACCCATTTAGACACATATAACATTATTTTGTTTAAACCAATAATATAATTAATAATTATTTAATTGATTATTTAAAATTTATAAATGATTTTATTTAAATTAATTAATAAATAATGATATAATTGTACTTATTATATTGTTAAAAATAATATAGTTTTGAGAAAACGCAATTTTGCGATTTGGGCGAGAAAACGTGGGTTACGGTTTTGGTGGAAAAACACGGTTTTACGATTTTGGCGGGAAAACACGGGTTTACGGTTTTGGCGGGAAAACATGGTTTTATGATTCTAGCGGGAAAACACGGATTTATGGTTTTGGCGGGAAAACACGGATTTACGGTTTTGGCGGGAAAATACGGTTTTACGATTTTGGCGGAAAAACACGATTTTGCGTTTTGGCGGCACGGTTTTACGGTTTTGGCGGAAAAACACAGTTTTACGATTTTGGCGGGAAAACACGATTTTGCAATTTTGGCGGGAAAATATGGGTTTGTGATTTTGGCGGAAAAACACGATTTTGCGTTTTGGCGGAAAAACACGGGTTTACGGTTTTGGCGGAAAAAACGCTATTTTGTGGTGATAATACCTAATTTTTCGATTTTGGCGGGAAAACACTGTTTTATGATTTAGACGGAAAAACACGGTTTTACATATTTAAAAAAATATATATCTAAATCATAATTGAATTTAAATAGAATAATTTAGTTTTAATGTATTTAATATATTACTCTTTTATTTTAGTTATTAAGGGATTAACATTTTTTAATAAAAATAATTAATATAAATGGGCTTAAATGGGTACCCATTTATTTGTGTGATACCTTATTTAATAAATGAGTTTAATTGGAGTAATCCATTTAACCCCATTTAATATTTTCCCTTAAATGGATTTATTTTTCTTATACATACTCATTTATTAGTGGGGGTTTCATGCCCAAGTTAACATTACTATAGAAGATAGAATTTGGTTATAGTGCAATGTGCATATTCTCTGTCCAAAACAATAGATGTTTGTGTTCTTAGTTTTTATGTCTTTCGCAGCTACGTACTACAGAAGGTGTGATCAATGATATGGGGTCGAAAAAGTTTCAACTAAACAAGTTCATCAGCAAGTTCTCAGATTACAAGGTCGAATCACGATGGTGAATATAAAGATCAAGGTTACTTCCTTTTGGTAATCATGTTATTTTAGTTCATAACAATGCCAAGATTCATCGTATATGGTATCTTGTGTAGTGCACATGGGATACATGGCATGGCTTCATTTGGAAACGACAACAATCTAATATTTGTCATGATACACATTTTCTAAGACATATCTATTCAAGTGACGGGCTAGATTTTCTTAGAACTTTTTGACCTTTTTTGTTTTACTTGTGAGAGTTTTTTTTTAAATCTTAATTTTTTTTGATAAAAACAAAACACACTCGAGACCACGACGAACGGTTCTACCTGCATCATTTTAAAATTTCTGATAAGCTTTCTTTAATAATCTGCGACATCTAAACACATGTATAGTTCTTGAAGTAGATATAGGTTTTTTTTTTAATATAGGCAATCAGGCATCATCATATAAAATCAAAACTCTTTAAATTAATTTTAGAATTATTTAATTGAATCACTAGAATTATTTCCTTCAACTATATATTTGCACCCTATTACTATTCCTCTATTTTTATTCAATTCAGTTAACCACCATTTCCATTTCAACCTTTCGTTAATAAATGGGCCGACACATCTAGGAATGGGCCTTGCCGCACAAGCAATGCATAAAGTTTTTCCACGGATATCGAATTTCATATACCAAACCCTAAAGTTTTTTTTTCGTTTCCACACATCGATTTTCCATTAAGATTTCAAAAATGTCAAAAAGCTTCATCACCACATTCGTTCGCCTCGCCATCAGATCTACCGGAAAACCCTCCAACACAGCCGCTTTTGCCGCAAGAAACGTCAGGGCTCTCAACACATCAGCCATTTCTGAACCAGGTACTCCTAGCTAGCCCTAATTTTTTAACAGTAACTCTATCAAATGTACTACTGATTCTTTTTTCACAATTGTTTCGGTGATTTCTACAGCTCTAGTAGATAATTCCAGTGAAATTTCACAACAAATATCGCCTCAATATGCGTCTAAAACGAGTTGGTCTGCGAAACTACGATCTGCTCTGGATAATGGTGCTAAAACTTCAGCAATATCTAGACTTGAGTCATCAGGATTCGAACTAGCAGATGATTGTCAAGCCGCGATTCTACTTAACATAGAAAATGCTCAGAGGAGCAATGATGAAGAGTATGTCACTGATCAGATCGCAAAGGCTTTCGAAATTATCGCAGCCATGAAAGGATCAAATATCAATGGAAATGAAAAAGTCTATGGTCCTCTTCTTCACTTCTTAATTGATAAGAAAATGGTAGAAGAATTCCATATGCTTGTTGAAGCAATGAGGGATGATAGTGATCATTATTGGTTACGGGAAAAGTTAGCGAGATTAGGTTACTATAAAATGCTTCTTTGGATCAAGCTCAAAGACGAAGAAAAGATCAAAGAAGTTTGTTCTATGATTATCAAAAGGTTCAAAGAAAAAATTGCGGTAGAAAAAAATTGTTCCAAGCCACCTGTTATCCGTCGCGGCTGGGAAATCCATCGAATGGAACTTTGCAATAAACAATGTCCAAAATTAACGAAACATTATCTGCTTGCACTTTGTGAGAAAGACCAGCATAAGGAGGTTTTGAGGATATTAGAAACTCTAGACATAACCAGAGTCGAGTCTTTTCGCCTTTGGACAAGCATTTTCGAACACCTTGGAAGGTCACTAGCAGAATCTGTTGCAAAGAAGCTCCTCCGTGAATTGAACAAGAATGGTAAGCAAAGGCACATAAAATAACGTTTTTGAATTCTAATGCACATGATATACTATTGTAAGTTTGTTTCATTGACATATCCAGGTCTTTCCAATTATAGAGAGCATGACGTTTCTGAGCTGATCTTTAGCTACGTAACCAGCATTCCTAACCTGTCGGTAAGTATCGAAGTCAAGAAGAGCAAGTTCCTAACAAAATTTTGCCATCTCTAAATCATTTTCTTGGCAATTATAAGATTGGTAGTGCCTTTTTCAAGTTCAAAGAGTTGCTTAACGAGCTGGATATTACCCCTTCAACAGCATCGTATAAGAAGCTTATCAACTATAGTTGCGATTCACGAAAGGTAATTTTTTTCTTTTCATCAAAACCTACTTGTTTTTTTTTTTAACTTTAGGTGGAACTTAGTTTTAGTTTCTTCAGCCGGTTTTTATATATGTTATTACAGGAGGAAATTGGTCTATCTATATTGCAACACATGTATGAAGTGGGTCTAAAAGTACCATCAAACGATGCGGTTTACCTTTTTCGTAGCATTGAGAAGAACTATGGGTTTAATCTGGTATGTGCATGAAAGCCTCAATTGGTTGCCTTTTAAACTATTTATTATCAATATTATACATCTATATATGTCTTGTTTACTTATCTATATATATATATATATATATATATATATATATATATATATATATATAATGAACTCACAATATCGAATTTTGTGAGTGCAGGTTAGAGGTGTAGAAGATGTGCTTACAGAGATGCATAAAAAAGGGGACAAAAGTAAAATGTTCAATCTACGGTTGGCTGAATACATTTTGGAGGTGATTTCTTTACATTTTGGAGGTGATTTCATTGTTACACTCTTCTGTTTTCTTTGTATATTTAACTTTTTTTTTTTGTTTTTCTTTGTTTTATCGAAGGTGTTGTTTGGAGGATGTGAACGAAATCAGAAGGAAGGAGATAGTTATAAACCATGGTTAATCAACAACTATTTTAGATGAAAATTGGATGATTATAAGAGAAAGTATCCTAAGGTTTGAACAAAAAAAAGCAATGTTCTTCATTTGTTTTAAAGTGGTATCCACTTATCTGTGGGTTCAGTGGCCTTGTCCAAATCAAATCACATTTTAATTTTATGAAAGTGGATGATGGTTGAAGAAGAAAGTTCTTTTCTTTAGCGTTTTTTTTTTTTAGTACAATGCATGACATTTTTGCGATTTATTTTGTGTTTTCATCTAGTGCTATCGTTTACGTTTGCGTCTGATAGAAGAGAATTGATTTTTCTTAATGGAATCGAAACAACCTAGCTAAATCAAACCGAAACCAGATTTTATGCCGTGATAGGTATTATTGCATGACCAAGTTTCTTGATATGTATTATTTCATAACCAAATTCTTCTTTGGTTGCTTGTTGATGATTCTATATGGGATGATTATATGTCAATTCTTAGCACCTCCATGGAGAGATTTTTCATTAAAATAAAGGAAAATATTAAAAAGAGAAGAAAGTGAGTAGTATGTTAGCGGCTACACCAATACTTATGTTAAGGTTCAGAAAAAACCGGTAAAAATTTATTAAAAATCCGACGAAAAGTATGGTTCTAATGATATTTTAGTGTCCAATTGCGATGCATTGCTCATTTGTTATGTTCGACGTTTAGGATATGATGGTTATAATATATGTATTGTAGCGCGCATATAATAAGTATACAAATGTTAATTACGCTCTATATATATATAGTTGTTGATTAACCATGGTTTATAACTAGCTCCTTCCTTATAGATAGTGTTAAGTAATCAACAACTATTTTAGATACAAAAAAAAAAAAAAAAAAAAAAAAAAAAAAAAAAAAAAAAAACTATTTTAGATACATAGATCTAATTATTTAACACTATTATTATTTATAACATTCACTATTATTATTTTTAACATTCTATGTACGTGTATATATACAAATGTCAAAATGATGTAATATATTCATTGAATGTCTATACAACTTAGATATTTTCATTTCCGTCGAGACGTTTTCTATATCGGTTTTTTTGTCGCCGTGTAAGCATCAATTCACCTAACCAACATTAAATACAAGTGTCCAAGAAGTCAACCACATTTATCCCACGCCCATAAAAAAAACCTATACTAGTTTTCTTGTAATTATTCTAAACTTTAGACCCATTTGTAAACTTTATTTCTCCCTAGTCCAAGAATTTTTCTTCTAAATTAAACCAAAATCTGATTTCAAATTCTCGATTCTCTTATACAAAATTCAGGTTTAATTCTTTGTAATTTGGTTAGGATAATTCCGTATTAAAATATGGAAAATAAAGTCATTTAGTATAATAAATTAATAACCTTAATCATTTTCTCAGATCCTCCCTAACCTTTGACTTTTTCTTTTGCTTCTGTTTCCTTCTTCATCAATTCTCTTTTTCTTTTTCTTTTTTTTCTCAAAATTTCCTTTTGAAAACCCTAAACCAACCGACTCACTTACCTTACCTCTGATTTCAATTTCATTTTCCTCAACTCTACCACTATGAACCAACCCAGATCCGAAAATCTCTCCTTTCCCAAAAATTCTTCCATCTTTCTCCTCAATTTTCCTTCTTTACTTGACCAAGTCTTACTTCTTTCGTAATCAACAATGTTGATCTGAAAAAGTCCCCTGTTTTTGTTAGATCTACACAAAAAAAATCTCACCTTTTCCTCTTCTTCTTCTTCCAAAGATCTGATTTTGTTTCTGGGTTCTTTAAATTTCGAAACTTTCTTACAAAACTTTCACTTCTTTTCATCAATTTCGTTATTTAGATACTAAAGTTCAAATCTTTGCATTGTGGAATCGAAAAAGGTTGAATCTTTATTTGAATTAGTTTCTGTGAAGAAGAAGGAAGAAGAATCAAATTATGGGTTGTATTTGCTCAAAAGGAGTACGAACTAATGATGATTACATTGAGACGAATCATGTAAGTATTAGTAAAGAGAATCCTAAAGCTTCAAAGAAACAATCTGATTCAGAGGAAACTAGTGTTAATGGAAACGAAGCTACATTGAGGTTAATACCTGATGAGACCAAGGACACTTTCTCTGATGAGGAAGTGGAGGAGGTGGAGGAGAAGAAAGAGAGTAGCTTTGAGATGAAATCTTGTGAATCAGTGTTGCAAAAAGGAAACGTTTTGGAGATAGTTGATAATGTAGGACCATTGCAGCCTAGGATGAGTAGGATTGGTAGTGTGAGTAATGGAGATAGAGCTGCTAAAGTTATTGCTGGTTGGCCTTCTTGGTTAGTTTCAGTTGCTGGTGAAGCTATTAATGGATGGATTCCTCGTAGTGCTGATTCGTTCGAGAAGTTGGAGATGGTGAGGGGATTGTTAATGGAATTTGGAATCTTTGCTTTTGGATGATGATGCTAAAGTTTTGTTTTTTTTTTTTCGATTGCAGATTGGGCAGGGGACGTATAGCAGTGTGTACAGAGCTCGTGATCTCGAAACTAACCAGATTGTTGCGCTTAAGAAGGTTCGGTTTGCTAATATGGATCCTGAGAGTGTGAGGTTTATGGCAAGAGAAATCATTATTCTTCGTAGGCTTAACCATCCAAATGTTATGAAACTCGAAGGGCTAATCATTTCGAAGGCTTCGGGAAGTATGTATCTTATATTTGAATATATGGATCATGATCTCTCTGGCCTTGCTTCAACCCCTGGGATTAAGTTCTCACAGGCACAGGTAAACAACGTTCTGAAGTGTGCTATGCGCTTGTAGTGATTTTGGTGTGGTTATACTCATTTGTGTAACATTTGATATGCTTTTGCTAGATTAAATGCTATATGAAGCAATTGCTGCTTGGGTTAGAACATTGCCATAGCTGTGGTGTGCTGCACCGTGACATCAAGTGCTCAAATCTTCTGCTTGATCGTAACAATAATCTCAAGATTGGTGATTTTGGTCTCTCTAATTTTTACCGGGGCCAACGAAAGCAGCCTCTTACCAGCCGTGTTGTGACATTGTGGTACCGCCCACCTGAACTTCTGCTCGGGTCAACAGACTATGGAGTTACAGTTGATCTGTGGAGCACAGGATGCATACTTGCTGAACTCTTTACTGGAAAGCCCCTTCTGCCCGGAAGAACCGAGGTATAGTTTCCTTTATGAAACACAATTCCCTTTTTAAGATTTGGCACGTTGGCTTTGATTACGCCAAACAAGTTAAACGTTTTATGTTATCTTAGGCATATCAAAAGAACCTTTTGTTTCTTATATGAACAGGTAGAACAAATGCATAAGATCTTTAAACTCTGTGGATCACCTTCTGAGGAGTATTGGAGAAGATCACGCTTACGGCATGCAACCATCTTTAAACCTCAACATCCGTACAAGCGATGTGTAGCTGATACATTTAAGGATCTTCCCTCTTCAGCTTTGGCCCTCCTTGAGGTTCTTCTAGCTGTAGAACCAGATGCACGTGGAACCGCATCTTCTGCCCTTCAAAGCGAGGTTAACCTAGACTTTAACTCTGCTACTAGATTCAGACTTCAATATGTTTTACACTTTTTGCGTACTTTTACAATTTTTCTTATACATACATGTTGATATTCCTTTTTTTCAGTTCTTTACGACAAAGCCTTTTCCAAGCGAGCCTTCAAGCTTACCGAGATATCAGCCAAGGAAAGAATTTGATGCCAAGCTTCGAGAAGAGGAAGCAAGACGGTAAGATTCAGAGCTTCTCCACCTTTTGTGACCATTTGCAAGTTTTTTCTTAGTACCATTGCAGTAACCTTTATGACTCCCAATTTTTCTCATGAGCAGACGGAAAGGTGCGAGCACTAAACAGAATGAACCGAAGCGGTTGGCTAGGGAGTCCAAAGCTGTACCGGCTCCTAATGCCAATGCTGAGTTACTGTCATCAATACAGGTAACTTCTTAGTCTATAGATGCATGTGAATGTGTTTGTGTATGTATGCCTATGCTTCTATCTTATTGCTTGGAATTTTTCCTTTCAAAGAAACGGCTAGGGCAGACTAACAAGACAAGCGTGAGTGAGACGTTCAATCCTGAGGGAGATTCTGGCAATGGCTTCCGGATTGAACCACTGAAGGGTATCACTGCACAAAATCCCTACCCAATCTACACAAATGGAGACAATCACCCTAACGGATCAAGCCAACTGAGAACACAAAGGTCCTATGGCCAACGCGGGGCTGCCCAATTGTCGAGATTCTCAAACTCAATGGCACCTACTAGAGATGGATCACAGTTTGGAAGTATGAGAGACGCTATAGTAAATCAACGCTGGCTTGAAGATGGTTCAGAGAATTTCAATTTGTCCCAAAGATTGCTGGAGAAACCTAATGGTTTTAGGAAAGATGACCCCTCATCCTCTAGCAAAGATTCAATAATGGTAAAAACAAAAATAACATTGTTGTTGTTAGTTCCTTGTGTTTCTATATTTATGGCTGATGATAATTTGGTGAAAACAGGGCTATGATGGTGAGAAGAGAGGGAGGATTCAATACTCAGGACCATTGATTCCAGGAGAAGGAAACTTGGATGAAATGTTGAAAGAACATGAAAGACAGATCTTGTTGGCCGTACGACGAGCTCAAGCCGATAAGGCTAAGAGAGACGATAACCGACAGGCTCAAGCCTCGTTTCCAGCTAATGGAAGGTGATATTTTGGGAGATTTATTCATAATGAGTTTCTTAGAGAAAGTAGTACAATAATAAACAAACTTTTTTGGAAAATCTGATGATGGTTCTTCACCATACTTGCCATTTTTTGTTTGTTAGACTTTGTATGGTTTAGAAGAAAGGTTTAGATTTAGAATCTTGGGTTGTATAGTCAAATTGCTAACAGTTTACATGACTTATATTCTCCATTCTTTTGATAATCTAATAAATCTCGATTAAGTAATTGTTTACTGTTTCATTTTACATATTTAGTTCATTCCTCTCAATGAGAAACTTTAGCTCTATCATTGGAACAGAACACGAGATCTTTATTCTATGAGTGTTTAAAGATACGGTTCTTACAGGCGAAAAAGGAGAGAAACTGGTCTTGCCTTGGTGGCACACTGTGCCAGCACAGTAAAATGAGGCGTTTAATGTTTTAAAAACGAAAGAATATAAAATTTAAAAGCAAAATGATAAAAGTTGAAAGACGTTTTCAGTTTCTTTATGAAACAAAGAATATAAAATTTTAAAATAAAATTATTTTCTACTGCCAGGCTTTGAACCCAGAATCATTCTTCCGTAGATTATATTGGATTATTTTCTTTTTTTTTTTGGATTATATTGGATTATTTTCTACTGCCAGGCGTGCTGCAATGGATTATTATTTTTTTTTTTTCTTCGTCTGAAAGATTATATTGATGGTTAAAGATACATGTACAAAACACTTCAATCTTGACACAACCAAGATGAGAGGATTAGGAAACAAACGAGAGTATTCCTAATCTACCAAAAAATTAGCCAAAGAAGAGGACAAACATTACACAGAGAAAAGGAAAACGATTTAAGAGGAGACTCTCTCTTCACCAAAAAGTCCATCGAGCCATCTGGGATGACCAGCCGCTACATAAGAATTGAGTCTGAAGTCCAAAACCACTGATTTAGCGATCAGCGAGGCTCCTCTATTTGTTTCCACAGTTTCCAACTCAAGTTTCCAGTCCACAATCTTCTCCAAAAAATAGTTAATTTCAGTAACCTGATGAGTGATAGAAGGCCATGCCTTCGGTCTTCTGAAGGCACCAATGATGTCATGCGCTTCCGAAGCAAAAACAACTTTGTCCAAATGCAGAGATTGCATGCTTTCAATGGCCCATGTAAAAGAGTTAAGGGTTGCTTCATTTTTATCATGGAGATCAATGAAAGCCCTCCTGCTATGATACAGAACCACACCCTCCGAGTTTCTAACGACCCAAGCAGCCCCAGCCAGTTTGTGTTTATTTGACCAGCAAAACCCGATATTACACTTATGCCAAGCTAAAGGGGGAGGATCCCAAATTCTCCTTATAGCCTGCGTAGAGATGGTTTTCTCAACAGCAACAGATGAGGGTATAAGCTGAGAAGAGAACCACTCCTCCATATCTTCACTTATTTTTAAGGCAGTTTCCTTTGGACCATAGCTAACCCCATCAAAAAAGAGCTTATTTCTGTTTTTCCAAAGCCTCCAAAGGACCCAAGGAAAACATCTCATGTTTCTCAGAGGGATCTTAACATTCTTCTTAATCTCATAAAGAGCTTGGAAGTTTTGGAAGACATAATTATCACTAAAACCCCCATATGGAAAAGGAAACTCAGAAAGAGCCCATACCTGTCTTGCTAAAGGGCACAAGAAGAGGACATGGTTAATGGATTCACCATCCTGTCCACAAGTCTGACAACGATTATCAATGCTCATTCCCCTTTGAAGAAGTAAGTTTGCGACAGGTAGTGCTGCACTTAGAGCTCTCCATAGAAAAATCTTGATCTTGGGAGCCGTTTGAATGGTCCAGATTTGCTCTTTCAAAGCATTAAGAGAAGGCAGTGCATATGCTGCAAGGAAGCTCGGGTTGTTAGTTAATCTGCAGGCTAACCAGTAACCAGATTTGACCGAGTATTCACCACATTTTGTATGTTCCCAGCAGTAGAAATCATCTTTGGATATGACTGGTTTTTTGAAAGGATCAGAAGTACATCATCTGGGTAGAAGAGATCATCTAACATATCACGGTCCCAACCTCTAGCATCCACATCAATTAAATCTTCCACCATCATATCAATATCTATGATAGGATTCTTGATTAGTGGAGCTCTCAACCCATTGTCATATATCCATTAGTCAATCCAAACATTGAGAGACTTCCCATTCCCCACCATTTTCCTCATCCCTTTAACCAATAATTCTCTTCCGTGTAAAATGCTTCTCCAAGCATAAGATGGTCTTGAGCTGACATTTGCGTTAAGGAAGTCATCCCATTCAAAGTATCTGCTCTTCATTAGCCTTGAGAAAAGACAATCTGGATTCTGAATGAGTCTCCATGCTTGTTTAGCGAGTAGAGATTGATTGAAAGACTCTATATCTCTGAAACCTAAACCACCTTCAGCCTTTGTTAAACACATTCTTTCCCAACTCACCCAATGTATTTTCCTTTTGTGTTCCAAAGCACTCCACCAGAAATCACTCATTGCACTTGTTAGGTTTGCACAAGTCGTCTTTGTTAACTTAAAACAAGACATCGCGTAAACGGGCATGGCCAAAGCCACAGCTTTAAGTAAAATCTCGTTACCACCCATGGACAAAGACCTTGCAAACCATCCTGATAACCTTGCCTTTAACTTGTCCTTTATGTAGTCTAGGAGCTGCACTTTGGAGCCACTAAAACACTCTGGAAGACCCAAATAAGTACCTGCTCCTCCTTCATTTATGATTCCCATGCTGCTTTGGATGCCAATCTTGATAACTGAGTTGACTTTTGCACCAAAAGTGAGGGAAGACTTGTCAAGGTTTACTCTCTGTCCCGTTGCATCACCATAATCCTTTAGGACTCCTTTGAGAGTAGATATCTGATCCAAACCTGCTTTACATAGGAAAAGACTGCTAAAGATCCAAATCCAAATCAAGTATATTTTCTTTATATACATAATTTTAAAGGGTCTATTACATAATTACATGCTAAAGATTTTATTACATGTTTTTACAAAAACCATCAAATAAAGTGATACTATCATTTTTTTTTTCTTCCATAAGTGATACTATCATGCAAAACAAAAAGGCTTGTAGGGGTAGGGCATTGAATTAGTTCGGCTAGTCTAGTTACTTGTTCGGTTCTTCAGTTTTTCGGTATGGGGAAAACTTTGTGGAAGAAATCCAAAAACAAAATCGGTTTGGTTAGATTTTAATTATAAGAAATTCAGTAAATTCCGGTTAAATTTGGTATATTTTGGTTAATGTCAAAATTTAGGTTAGTTTGGTTTTTCGGTTATTTCGACTGAAACCGATTAAAAATAGAAACAAAAGAAAACGAAGAACTGTCGGTATGGGACTACTTAACCTAACTGAACCAAATTCGAGAACCGAAATTAATTTGAAATGTGCCGATTGGTATTCAATACAAAAGAGAAACAAAACCAAATTGGATCAACTTTGGTTCAGTTCGGTTTGGTCAATTTGGTTCGGTTCAAATTCTTTGTTGACATAAATAGCGCAATGAAAAATAGTTGTTCGTGAGAATGATAAGAGCATCTCCATCGGGGAGTTTTAACAGAGTTTCTCAGAACTAAATTAATAAAAAGAAATAGAAAAGGAGGAAAGAAAGGGAGGATCGTCTCTCCAATCCTGTATTTTACATATCCATACGATTGAGTCCTTGGGTTTCCGAAATAGTGTAAAAATAAGTGCTTCGAATCATTGCTATTTGACTCGGATCTGTTCTAAAAAAGTCGAGGCATTTCGAATTGTTTGTTGACACGGACAAAGTCACTACATCAAAAAAATTTCCATTAATAAAAGATGTGAATTTACGCATAAAGGTTCAGTCAGAATTAAGAGGATTGTCTCTCAAATGAGAGACGCTTCTTTGCCACCTGTTTTAATTTTATTGGTACATTTCTGTTTTTTATTTAAAATTTAATTAGACAATAAAATCATAATAAACCTAATATTTTTTTATTTAATTTTGAGATATTCTTTTTGAGATCGTTAACGATGAAGATGGTCTAAGGGGTGAATTTTTTATAACTGAGCAAAAATTTAAGATGTTTTTTTTTTTGTCTTCATAATGTGGGACATGTATAACCACAAATTTACAACCAAATTAAGTCATTCATGGAATGTCTTACATTCATTTCAAATTCTAGAATTTATATGAGAGCATTTCTAATATTTTTAAACATGTTTTCCAATGTCTTTCATGTTCTCAAAACCAACGTACGTTAGCATGTACTCTAGATGGGTTACAGTTTAGAAGTATGAGAGACACTATAGTGAATAGAGCTGTCAAATGGTCCGTTCATGGACCATCGGGCGTGTCCGTACGGATAGTTTTTTTATGGGCTGAAGTTGGATGGTCATAATTAGGCCTGGGCATTCGGATTTCAAATCGGATTCGGATCGGATATATTCGGATCGGATATAATCGGATTCGGGTTTTATGCCCAGGCCTAGTCATAATGGACAATGGTTCAAAAAATGTTCATGCCCAATAAAGACCACGTCTATATGGGCAAGCCCATGGTCAGTCCATTTTTATTATTGTTACTAGGTTATGAACCCCGCGATATCGCGGGGAACTCATTTTCAACAAATATATTTTATTACGTTTATGTATTAAATTATTATTATAATATATTCAAATAATTGAATTATTATATAAAATTAACTATGTCTTAAAGATATATCGTAAATATTTTCTAAAGATATTTAAAAAAATTATGAATAAAAATGTAAAAAAAAAATTATGATTAAAAAACTCTTTTGAAACATTTGTTGTGAATATAAATTATTTATAAGTGACAAAATAACTAACGAAGAGTTATAATATAGAGAGAAAAAATTCTAGCGGGTCAAAACCAAAAAGATATAAAAACACAACCAGAAAAATAACCGTCAACACAAAAAGTAACCGTCAATATTTTAACGAAGAGTTGCGATAAAAAGACATAACCGAGAAAAAATAACCGTCTATATTTTAACGGAAGGTGCCGATAAAAAACACAACCGAGAAAAAATAACCGTCAATATTTTAACGAAAAGTTGCGATAAAAACACACAACAAAAAAAAGTAAATGTCAACATTTTTACGAAAAGTTATGATAAAAAGACACATTAGAAAAAATAACTGTCAACGAAAAATGTAACCGTAAATATTAACGAAGAATTGCGATAAAATGACACAACCGAGAAAAAATAACAGTCAATATTTAAACGAAAAA